CCACTCTATCGCCCCCATTCTGTGCTTTTGTCGGGGATCCTGAAAGCCTATGCCTCAGCTTCTTATGACATCTTCATGCATGCAGTGGGAAGTTTCGTATCATCATCCGAAACGTGAGGCTGACCTCTTCTTGGTCTTGCTGAAGAACGAGTGTCGGCGGCTCCTCATACATGCTGACCAATTTTGGCATATCTTCAATACTGAGCAATTGCCTTTCGACGACAGTGTCTCATAATGCATCCGATACATCCGGAGCAGGGCGTTTGAGCGTCTGCAGAATCCATGCTGCCAATTTGGTCGATGAAACAAACGTATACCAGTACGGCCCCAGGGTGTTGTGCTACCTAGCATAGCTCTTGTTCGCCAGAATGGAGAAGCGGAATCGATAGCAGGAATTTGCCAACTACTTGACCGCTCCGAAGTTCAATGACAGAAACGAGTAACCAAATCAATAGCTGGCTTGAAATCAATAACTAGATACAGTGTAACTACCATGTAATTTGCAAACGCGTAGGAAAAGAAAAATGCCTACTCTTCCACAGCACCCAGCTCTACCACTAACCTCATGAAGGGCTTGAACTCCTCTGGCATCCAGCTGTGTAGGTCTTCGACATAATGTCGCGGGACTTTTGCCCCATGCTCTGCAAGGTATCGGATCATGTCATCAGATTTATCGTACATAGCCGTCGCTAGTGCTCGTAATGGGGCGGCTCGATGCTCACGGATGTCCGTGTTCCAGTCAGTGACATCTTCGTTGACATCTGCACCCGCTTCTAGCAACATCTTCACAGTTTCCATGTCGTGCTTCTTGACTGCTAGCTGCAGCGTCCCCGAGTCCTTGAACCAGTCGATTCCGAATCTGTCCAACAGGACTCGAATTGACGCAGCCTTCGGCCATGGCTTTTCAAAGGGTGCAAAAAACATTCCTCGGAACCTGCTCACACTTCCTCCATGGTCTATCCACCAGCGAGTGGCGTCAGGTCCCATGCGAACCATACCACACCAGGTTGAATTATGCGTAGTTGAATTGTAGTTTAACTGCTGTGGGTCTGTGCGCCATTGGCAAAAGTCCAGGTCGAACAAGATATCGAGCCATTCCACACCGTTTTTCCCATACCAGCCGCAAAAGGTGTAGGAGTCGAAGTAGTTGGGCGAAAAGCCGATCTCGAAGCAGAAACGGAGTAGCTGGGTGTCGCGTATTTCTGATGAGATTTTCATGAGAGGACGGGAATAGTATATTGGGTCTATGCCAGAAGATTCAAGAAGTTCTCTGATGGCAGGAATGTCGCCTTGAAATGCACTCAGGAAGATCGAAAGGATGATGGTTGTATCTACGAACTCGTGTAAGCAGTGAGACCCACAGCCGGTCATTCTGCATTTTGATCACACTTACCATCGTCTGTGGGCGGCTCATAGTTCTCGCTGAGCAGTAGATCTCGTACTTCTCTCTCGAAGCCCCTCAGATTCCATGCCTTTTTGTCGGCAGACTCTACCGTAGATTTGGGAAGCTTGTAGTAGGCCACAATGTGCCGCAAACATTCTTCCAACGTTCTCTCGCCACTCAATCTCGCATCGCGCGCTTCGCCAAAGCTGGAGAGAGTCGTTGACATTGCGATCGTTATCAGCGATAAGGCTCACTATGATGCCTAGGTATGTGAGAAACGCAAACCTTGGAAGTGAAACAAATTCAAGGCTGGTCGGATCCAGAAGGTGGGAAAGAGGGCGGGAAAGAGAGCGACGAAGATCTGTGTACTTTGAGCGCAGACGTGTACTCCGGGCTTCTACAGTTGATGATTTTGAGAGGTGTGCGGGCGGATATTAACCTGAGGGTGGCACAGTGACGCTAGTGGATTCATAGCTAGCGGTGTACACCTACAAGCGCTTATTTGACATCGGCTTGATGTTGCCTAACATGCCAAGGGTGGCGCATTCCAACCTTGGAGGTACCTAATTAGCCCAGGCGGACTCAGGGCATTGACGTTCTATCTATGTTACTACCCGATGCACGGAGAAGGCGTCGCGCGCGCAAGGATTTAGGGAGACAGAAGACCTCGGGAGGGCTGTTTCAACCCCGAATCCCGATATTTCAAGAATTATGTGTGTGACGCCTCAAGGTCGCGTCTCTTGGTGAGCATTGGGGGCTGTAGGGCTTTGCGATACCTCCCTAGGTAGGTAGGATGTGTTGAATCTTCTTGAGATGTGGCCATGTGCCACGGGACACATGCCTGCCTTTGTTTCAACGCGCGATTGCAAGGCAGATAGTCAAACTGGAGTTCCTGTACTATCAAGATACCGTGGCCAAAGATATCGACACAAGTCTCGCTGAAATCCTTGCTGAGAACTAGGTATATCTTCTCTCAACTCCTATCAGCATTGGGTAAACGTACACTGAATCAACACTTGTCGCCTGGACTGCGTCAATCCTTACGTTACTGCGTATATTTTCATCCTGCCATCGCTACCACGACATGAAGACCACATGGCTCACTATCCTGTGCTGGACTTACATCCGGCTGTCCACATCTTTCCCTGTCGATGACAGGCCCGCATTTACACCATGGGATCTGGCGAAAAGAGAGATCGAAGCAGCTATCTTCTCCAATCCTCTGGGACCCCAATTTGGAGTACCTGATGAGACGTGTCGTGGCACGCTGGAGGGCCCCAACACCGGTAGTTGCTGGAAGATGGCAGATGTCACAGTTGATGTGAGTAGTTTTACCCTCTGAATCTTTTTAATCCAATGACTAAGCTACCTAGAAATTCATCGCAAACCGAAAGCCCGAGGCCAACGAATGCGAGGTGCCCTGCCTTTTCTACACCTCGAAACTCACGGGAGCGGCAGAAAGGCTGGCCAATTTTGTTCTGAAGGAGGTACTTTTGACGGGGGCTGCGGAAGGACCGCGCAAGTACCAAACTATCTGGGTACGTCTCGCTAGGTAGAGTACAACCACGCGAGAATGCTAACTACTCACAGGAGCTACATCCGCCAAAGTTCTATCCAAACAAGAATGACCTGGACAAGACTCCCGAGGCCAAGTGCATCTACCAGGACCAGAGGGATCAGGACTACGACGCGAACTTCGATGGTTGCCAACGGCTATACTTCAAGTCAATGTCGAAGGCCATGGCAATGGAGTGCAAAGGCGAGGTCTTCTTGATGACCAATTCAGATCTGAGCGGTACTCGCCCCGAAGGAAAAAAAGAAAAAGTTCCAGTGGATGGAATTTGGTGGCAGGTTGAATTTCCGACACTGATCGATGATGCTCGACCCGCAGACAAGAAAATCACAAAAGTCAGTCCAGAGCCACGCCGTAGGTACCAATTCATGGATGTTTAGGTTAACAGTCCCTCTAGATCAGTTATCTTCAAGTACCTTTTAAAGACCTTGGAACGCTAACTGCAGAAGAGAGAAGCAAGCCCCCCGAGATTGAGGCGAGGGGGGAGTATTGGCCTAATGGAGTTGGCAACGAGCATTTGCAAAGCTTTCGCAACGAACAAAGTCCGCAATCGACGCCGAGCCCGCAATCAACCCCCACTCCCACCCCCGAGGCAGCCAATCCGGTTGAGACCCCTTCCAGCGGTCTTGTCAGGAGGGCAGATCGGACAGATGAAGAAGTCCTTGAACCTGATGACGAAGGTTATCCTTATCATTACTCCATCGATGAGATCTATGACTGGTACAAGGCAGCAGCGTGGTAGAGGCTGGGAAAGGAAGACAGGCAAGAAGATCGAAATTGGTTTGGTGGAAGGCCGCGACACTACAACGATTTTGCTGAGTCTCTTATTCCTCGAGTGGTATCTGGCGATGTAACTAGACTTTCCATATCTTTTTATCAGCTGGCGTTTATTGGTACGTGAATAGATTCGATGTCTGCAATTCGCTCAAAAAGCCATGTTAAACCCGGCTCAGCCTATCACATTGCACGTTGGCGTGCACCGCCACAAACGCCACGTCTGCATCTATAATTGACAACCGGCTGAGTGGACGACGCGAGCATCTACGTGTCAAGTCCACCGCGTATAGCGGGCATAGTCGCTGGGTGACCGAAACAAGTCTCCAGTATTTGCCCGACGTACGACGGGTCGGGGCGATATGGCTGACATTGCGGGGTGAGCGGAGGCTTAGCTTGGGAAGTACACATGTTGCACCAACTATAAGTAGGAACGCCAGCAGTATCGACACCAACGTTGTAGTACAGTCTTTCGTGATAGCAATTCTTACTCTCCTTCGACATATACCAAGCTTTCCAGCAAATCTTGAATCCTTGGATCTCCACTCACAATGCCAAACGTCCGAATCGGCCCGACACATGAAGACCGTGCTCGAGGACGCATGTTCTGGTCGCCTGCAGAAGAAGGGTCATGCGTGCGAAAAATGAAAACAGTTCGTCGGAAGGGCATCGCTGAAGGACCTAACGGATACCCGGTGGTTGCAATCTCGAGACGAGCGGAGGAGAACAACCTGATTTACCCAAATCCGGACATCTCGAGCACACGCTCTTTCCGGCTTAACCAACGTCTGACGATACCAATTTCGGCAAAAGGTCAAAATCTGGATGAGCCAAAACGTAGTACTGGAGACCTGAACCTTGAGCGCACAGTCACGTCGACACAAGCCGCGCGGAGCGATGATGTCGGGAGGAACGCCGCTCCAAAAAGAGCCTCGAAGAAGTCGTATGAACATTCCAGAGTTCTCCAGTCTCCTCAGCCGGATCTCGAGGCGGCAGGCGTGAAAGAATGTACTAGCCGACCCGAGATATCTTCGCCAGATACCACAGCAGATACCACAGCGCGCAACTCTTTCATCGGCGATGTATGGTTGTCGTTCGACCATATGATAAAGCACGTCGCGGCAGTATTTGAGGGGAAAACGACGCCTAAAAAGACTGTTGTGAGGCGTCCGTTGTCCCGGTTCTGGGTTGATGCAAAAGGTGTGATGGCTGTAGCTATTGCGTCGATGTAGAAAATCGGAGTTGCTGCTTAATGATGAAGTGTCTTGTTCACACGCTGGACTCTTGGTGAGCTTGAATCCAAGCAATGGCGTTACACACACGGTCTAGTGCTATTGGTCGCCTGTTGGTATCCTTTAGGTCTTCCCTATAGGATTCGAGTAACTGGTAGGACGCCGAAAGCTCCCCGTTACGCAGCGCCAATACTGTACGTATAAATATCCAAAGTGACTCTTGTTCGAGGTCGAGACTTGTTGCATAGATCAGTATATCGCTTACCAGCTCCCGCTGTAGCGATGTAGCTACGATAGGCATCAGATACAGCAGGAACGACCAACCAGAGATGTCGCTTGGGTGTCTGCAGCACCAATCCTTGACGCCGTGGGTGACATGGTCAACCATCTCGCTGCTATCAAGCTTAGATACCAGCCTACGAGCATACTGCCAAGCGTGGTAGTTCTTCGGATGCTGCTCTCCAGACTTGTAAATAGCGGCGAATTCGCTCTCCCAAAACGTTGCTATTTGTTCTTGCGATGCATCTCCCAGTTCTATGAGTCTCAAAGAGTCCACGATGCTGAAGCGGTGGTACCACAAGGTCGGCGACTTGGACTGACGATGAAGTGGAGAGGTAAGTATGCTGTTCAGAAAGCACAGCTCTTGTCGTAATGCCCTATGGTATGGAGTGCCAACATGAAGACCGTGAGCTTCTTTTAGCTGGAACAAGGTGCGTTTTCGATAATTTGCTGCAGTGAGATGCTCTGGGTCGAATAGAAGCATGACCTTTGTCGCTTGCAATGTCTGTGCAGCCGTGATAGGATCATGTGCCTTGCTATGCACGAAGAAATGTTGGCGGGCTTCCAGGTAGGCTAACGCAAGTATCTTCTTCGGCACTCCCAGACTCATTCCGTCTTGCATTGTGATGCCATCCGGTGGCTGTATAGCAGGAGGTAGAATCTCGATCTCGATGACTTCGTCTGCATGCTCCTGGAAGTACTCGCTCAATGAAGCAAAAGCCAGCCTCTGGAATTCCTCTTGCTGCCTGCATTTGGTCGTCATGGCGGAAGATCTGATTTCGTGGGTTCAAAGTGAAAGCTGCCCAGCTGTCGCAGAAGGAGGACCCTTGCGCACGACCCCACCGCGTTAGCTTGCAGCTCCCAAAACCGCCTGGGCACCATTATGACATAACCCTTGACTTCAACACGATGCAGTGAGAACACGCTGTACCGCGATACTGGTCCCCATCCCTCAACATGCCGTCTCTCCTCCTGGTTGTCTTCACCCTGCAGCTGTTGCTCCACATCATCAACACCGTGGGCGCATCCACGGTCAACGACCTGGTAAGCCCCGCATCCGAAAACAAACACGCAGGAACCTGGGACTGACACATGGCAGTTATGGATCCTGTACAATAAGCTGCCGACGCCAACATCTGGGTCTGCGCAGAGATGCCAGGCCCTTAAAAAGGACATTGTGCGCTTGAAGCGCGAGCTGGGCAACACGTCGCCTCAGGACAACTTCTCCAAATGGGCCAAGCTCGACAGGCAGCACAACAAGGCTATGGCTGAGTTCCAGAAGCTAGGTAAGCGCTCCTGCGCGGAGACGCTCCCACCGGACACGTCAAGTGCACTTGCTAACGCTCTTCTCTCCAGATGGTTCCCTGCGCTCGCACCAGTCCACCTTCACTTCCGCCGTCTCGACCCTGCGCTGGCTTGGCACCCAAGGCCTTCGATTTGTTCTGCAGTTCTGGTTCTCCAAGTCGCCAATGTTCTGGGTACCCGCAGGGTGGGTGCCATACTACGTCGAATGGGTGCTGAGTTTCCCGCGCGCACCTCTGGGAAGCGTGAGCATAAACATATGGGGTATCGCGTGCGCAAGTATGATCGCGCTGGCAGCAGAGGCAGTAGCTGCGGTTTGGGTACTGGTTATGCGCAGACCAACGCCTGTGGCGGCAGAGAAGCAGCGCGAGAAGCACGAGGCTATGGCCTTCAGCGCAGACCAGAAGCCCGCAGAGAAAAAGGAACTGTGAGCGCGCTACGTGTCCGATTCCGCGTGCACATTTCATACAACTTCAAATCAAGTAAAAATTCAATATGTCTCCCAACAAAAGACGCAAAGTCGTCGTGGCTTTCGCTCAGACACTGCAACACGAGTGGGATGATCTTGGCAGATCCTTTGGCTTCTTCTAGGCTACAAATTGAACTCGTGATCGTGGAGAGTAGCGTATCACCGAGTCTTCGAAAGAGCCATCTACTAATCTATATTCCTTGGCTGACATCCTGAAAAGAAACGAAGCGGTGCACGGCAGCTGACATGAAGCTGCATCGTCCGACCGCATGCGTATAATCTCGTTGAGAGCGAAGGGTTTTGTTTGGTGTGGAATGCTCGCACAGGAAGCTTGAGAGGGAGAAAAGTGAAAATTCCGCGCTAACAGCTCGCGGCCCGACAGTGCCCCCGAAGAGCGCTTACTATATTTGGACTATCGCGTCTCGTTGGCACGTATAGACAATGTGAAGAACTCCATGACCTCGAGGGACGAGAAATTCTGCGTCTGAAAGTCGAAGGTTGCTAGCTAGAAGTTCAACGGAATATTTGTCTATAGCTAGTTCTCCCACTCGCTCCCTCGGATTATGTCACGTGCGTTTAGACCGTGCCCGAGGTCCAGGGCTGACCGGCTTGAAAATATCGCAGTGTACATCTGCCGTGTCTCGCGTGTCGTCGATCGTGCTTTACATGAACATGATCGACTATTTTGGCCGTTGATCACCACCATTCGATAGCATACATCCTGGTTTAGCTCTGTCAGCTACGGTGTAGTCGCTTGGAATGCAACACGGGACGGAGATGGGTGTCACCTCGTGTCGTGTGCTGCTTGCCTGACCGCACCAGGTAGAAAGTCTGCCGAAAACGAAGTGAGTCAGCCTCCGACTCATTGTCGTCGCGTTTCAATGCCCTTTGACAAGGCCAAGCGAGGGGAGCCGCCAAAGTCCAATAATGAGGCTCTACCGCGTCCTTGTGGGTCTGTGCGCATCTTCCCCATATCCGCATGAATGGTTCAGCGCTCGCCGGTTCCAGGCCGATCCAAATCTGGCTGTCATGTGTGGATGAGAGTTCCCCGCAATGTGGGATGAGATTGCTAGGTGCAGTGATCGCTCAAAGGTTGCGCACCTCGTTCTGCTTACGTGCACAGGGCTTGAGTAGGGTTTGCAGAGGCGTAGACGGCGTCTGGGGAAGCATGATCGCGGCTGGTTTCTCGAGTCAAGTGCGTGCTGGCGTCCCCCTAACCTCGCTGGTTTCATGCTGCGGCCGCGAACAAACTTCGTCGACATGATGGCGGCCGCTGTTGCATGTGCCACCTGTCGCGCCCAATGCCCTCACCCGCTGCATCTAAAGCTGCTCACACAAGGCGAAAGCCGAGAAACTTCGAGACTCGAGCGCTCGAGAGCCATGGCCCACGGACGAGGACTGGCTCCGTGACCGGCCTAACGGCGCCCAGTGGCAGCGCCGGCATTTCGGTGAGATTGTACCGGGACAGGCGCTGTGACGAAATGGCGTTTCTCTCCCCACACGGTGGACAAATGCTCCTCCCAATGACGTTTCGAGGATTCAGACGCCGGCCCAAGGCCGTCTAATGCGTTTACAAGTCGCGCACTTAGCGATGCGCACTCCACTTTGCTCGCCGCTGCTCAACCGTCCGCCTTTCCTGGGGTCGATAGTCCCTTCACCGCATCGACCCGCGTGGCCCTGCACACTGCTCGACTCGACGCAGCCGTCTCCTACACCACCCGTTGTCGGCACCCTGTCCATCGCTCCTTCCCAGACCACACCCATCGCCCGTATACGACCCGTCGACGAGGCTGGCGCCAGAGAATGCCGTGGCCTGAATATCAGATCCCGAGACGACCGCGCCCGCGATAGAACCAACGCTCTCCGTAAACAATAGCCCGTCCTCCTCTATGGCATCGATATACACGTTATAGCGCGGCGCACGACATGACGGATCTTGACTTCACCAATGGCGACTTCCCTACGCGAGGACCTGTGGTACTGGGAGTGTCGGCTGCGACGCTTGCCATATGCTCCGTTTTCGTTGGCTTTCGTCTCATCTCCCGATTTCTGGTGGTTAGAAAGCCGGGATGGGACGACTACACAATGATCCTGGCCTGGGTCCTCGCGTTTGGCGCATCCTTCTCGATATGCTACGGCACTACCAAAGGCCTGGGGCGGAAGCAAGAGAACATACCCGCGCAATGGCAAGAGCCCATGAAGAAGTCCTCCTTTGTCTTCTCGGTACTCTACGTACGTACAGGACTTTGTATACATAAGCCGCCAGCACTAAATCCCCACAGAATCCAGCTTTGATGGCCACCAAAACCTCGATCCTCCTCTTCTACCTCACGCTGTCCAAGACACACAAAGTATTCCGATGGGCCACCATTGCCACCCTTGTCGTCGTCAATGTCGGCGGGCTCGCTCTGACAATCCTGAATCTATGTCAGTGTCGTCCTGTTGGCGCCGCTTGGGCTTCTCCCGTTCCCGACACTGCTCACTGCACCAACATCGTCACGATATACCTTTCCTCGGCACCGCTCAACATCATCACCGACATAGCCATATTATTCCTGCCGATGCCAATACTCACTAGTATGCGGCTGCCGAGGAAACAGAAGGTGATCCTCGTTATTACCTTTGGTTTCGGTATCTTTGTCGCAGTCGTCGATGTCATTCGTATCGCATACCTGCAAGATGCTCAGCGCGATACTCTTGAAGCCGCACAACGGCAGTCTTCCGAATCTGGCAACGAACAGAGGAACACTGGCGATTTTGCGTGGTTCTCATCTCTATCATTTATGTGGAGCACCATTGAGATCAATTTGGGTATCATGTGTGGATGCGTTCCCGCCCTGAAACCCCTAGTCAAGAGATTCCTACCTAGCTGGGTCATCGACCATACTATGCGCGACAACACTACCCATACAAGCGACGAAGCTGTACTTCATCCCGACATACTCGATTCTCGGCGGCGCTCAGACCCCTTAACGCCTCCCGCTTCCCCACTCAGCAAACCTCCTCTCGCTCGTAGAAGCGGTGGTGATGAGCCGATGGGTATGATGGACTTTTTAACTACGCCTGACATGACCGAATTGCCTCAACTGAGACCGTCCAACACCACTGTTACCTACGCCACCACCACCCGCACCCAGCGCCCACCAACATTTTTCGACTTCGTCAACACTGGGCAGAAAAAGAATATCACCCTCCGGAGCAACCGAGAAAGTGTATATCCCGTGATCATGGTAACCATACTGTTCTTCATCTGGGGGTTTGCCTATGGTTTCCTGGACGTACTCAATTCGCGCTTTCAAGAAGTAGCTCGCACGAGCGAGTGGGAGACAGTCGGACAACACAGTGCCTATTATGTTGGCTACATTGTGGGACCTTTGACTTTTGGACGGATCGTCTTCAAGGCCTGGGGGTTCAAGGCATGCTACATGGTCGGTCTTTCAGTCTATGCTTGCGGAACCCTCGTCTTCTGGCCTTCAGCTGTGCTCAATTCCTTCCCAGCGTTCCTGATCTCAAACTTCATTACCGGTGCGGGACTATCGACATTGGAACTCGGCGCAAACCCATTCATAGCACTATGCGGACCGCCTGAGTATGCGGAAGTGCGATTGAACCTCTCACAGGCTGTTCAGGCTGTCGGCACCATTGTTTCCCCACTTTTGGCGAAGAAAGTACTCTTCCCCGCCAACGCTGCCAGCCTCATTGATGTGCAGTGGACATATCTCGGCATATCTCTCTTCAACATCGCTCTTGCAATCATATACTTCTACGTACCGCTTCCTGAAGCTACCGACGAAGAGCTAGAACTAGCCAGTCAACGCACTGTGCCATTTGCCCGCGAGGCCACCATCAAGATTGGGTCCAAGCCAGTCAAAGTTCTTTGGATTGGTCTGAGTATGGCGGTCTTGTCTCAATTCTGTTACGTTGGCGGCCAAGAATCCACTTCCACTTCGTACAAGGAGTACCTCAACCGCGTCGCGCCCTCCGTGGATTATGTGTCACAGCAAGCCTATGGACACACTGCTTTCGCGGTGTCTCGGTTCCTGGCAGCCTTCATCGACATTTGGGTAAAGCCACGCTTTAGTCTTCTGGTTTTCTACCTAGGCGCAATTGCAACCGCTGCCGCAGCAATGCATGCTTCTGGCAGTGGCGGTGCAGCCATCATTGTCATCGTCATGTTCTTTGAAGGCCCGCTTTTCCCGCAGATTTTTGCACAAGGGATACGGGGTATGGGCAAGCACACCAAAGACGCTTCCGTACTTCTGACGGCAGCTATCGGTGGAGGGGCCGTTATCCCACCGATAATGTATGCCGCGCTTAAGATCAAAAACGCACAATACGCTTTCTGCGTCATTGCAGCGGCTTACGCTGCTGGCGCATTGTATCCCATATACCTCAACTCACTTGCCGCGTCTCGGCAGTTATCTGATCCCGTACGCGACGAAAAGACCAGGAGAGAATCAGAAGCCGAGGGTAGGCGGCGAGGGTCGATGAGCGAAAAGCTCAGAAGGTGGAGTAAAGTCAAGAAGAGGCTGAGTGTAAATAAAGAGGATGAGAGATTACCTTCGGTTGAACATCGCGAGAGGCGCAGTTGGCCTGAAGGCCTGGCGCCGCGGAGCGATAGCCTAGCCATCGAGCCCGTGCAGACTCGTACACCGAGTTCATCAAGCTCCGCGAGTAGTAGGTGAAGGCTCTGCTTGAGGTGGCTTGTATTTGTATCGCGTACGGAGTTATAGGGAGATACCATGGGATTGTTTAGGGCTAGTGCCGCTTTAGCCGCTGAGGTTTTCTTTTTGACAAGGGACCTCCCGAAGTTAGTGCAATGAAGGGGCGACTTTTAGGACAAAGCAAAACTGGCGAGAGAATTCAACCTCAACCCCAGATGAAAGGACAATTAACGTGGTTGACATGTGTGACATGTGACGTGATTGGTTGCGTGCACGGACTTGCCGGTTGTTAGCATATTCTTGGGCCTTCGTATGGCTCTGCTGTCTCCACCACAGCAACAACACAACACCCGACACCGCCCACGGCCCACGCAACGAGAGCCCGCCCATTGCATCACCACCCAGACATCGCTATCCGGCTCCCAACAAAGCAGGCGTGCGAAATCACTGCGTTTGCGGGCCCTTTCCTCGTCATGAGTGTGCAGTACCAGCAGACATTCACGCCCCCTCATCTCTTGAACAACAACCGCTGCTCTCCCTCCCGCAACCGTACGTCTACCCGCTGCTCTCAACACCTCAACTCCATGTCAGCCACTAACTTTCACCCTCACGCAGTCTTCCCCCCTTCCGCCGCGATGACTGGCCGCAAGCGGAAAGCCGAGGACGATGGCAGCGGCGGTGACGACGACCGCATGAGTGCATCGCCAACCACATCTTCCGCCGTACTCCCACGACCAGCGCCGCGAGGCATGAAGCGCATGCGAACCAACATCTCCGGCCGCCCGCTCCCGCTCCCTCGCCTCCTCGAGACGCTCAGCCCCGACGAGATGCGCAACCTGCTGCAGTCCATCTGCCAGCGCCACCCGGACATCGGCAACGAAGTCGTCACAACCGCGCCCCGGCCAAGCATACAGTCAACGTTGGAGGTCCTGTCAAAGTACGAGGCGGCGTTCCAGGCAGCCTTCCCCTTTGGCGGCCGTGCGTCATCAGACTATGCATACAATAGGGTGCGGCAACAACTTGATGAACTGCTCGACTCCCTCAAAGACTTCACACCTCACTTCCTCCCGCCGCACGAACACCAGCCCGCCACATCGCTCGCCTTCCTCGATGGTGCCACCGAGATCATCCATCGACTACCCAACTGGGATACGTACCAACACAACCGTCACAAGCAAGAGGCATACGAGGAGATGGCCAAGGCGTGGGCGATGGTCATCCAGGAGGCAGCAAAGAAGGCGGGCGGAATACAGCTCCAATACGGCGGATGGGACGAGAAGATTGCGAAACACAATGAGATCTCGGGCGGAAAGATGCAGGAGGCAGTCAACGAGCTACGCGGAGGACTCGGCTGGATGGGCGCAGAGACACCCAATCCCGCCACCGGCGGGTCCAACGATGCCATGTCCATCCGCCAGCAGCTGCTGAGCGGAAACTACGGAACTGGCTCTCCCGCAAGCATAGGCGCTTGGTAGATCGACAGCAACGCCCTTTGACCATCGACCGTCATCACCATTTCGCCTCACTACAGTCCCCATTCATCACAGCATTACTACCATGGCGATCTCCCAACAATTACGGCCTAATCCATACCCGCGAATGATACCATTGCATGGAGGCATATTCCCATGATAACGACTGCATAGCGTTTCCTTTCAGTCTTTATTCACGTACAACAGCATATGGCAGGGCCGTTCCATCATTGCACTGGCGTACCGGTTGCGACATGCACCACAAAGAAGACCCCGAACCTCTGATCTTTTGTGCATTCCTGTCCTCGCCTGTTTTGGGGGCGTAATGTTTTGTCATTATTACAAGTCATGTACCCGGTTTAGGGGTTACCGTGCGGCGACGGATTGCACTCTTTTCTTTACTTTGTAACTTGGGGGAGGGAGGAATGATACCATGCTCGGTCTGAGAGAGCGGATGGGAATGGATGGATGGTATATAGGTGGGTGGAAAGCTGGACTGGACTGGAGTATGGAGATGAATAGACTTTTTTATGTATATACTGACTGTTTCTTTGATGCAATCTTCGCATTGCTTGGATGTTGCTGACTATGGTGTGTCGGGATGTTTTTTCCACCTGAACGCATTGTTTGGCACTTTCACGTGGCAACGCGCGCTAGCGCTGCGGCGCGAATCCACGGCGGTAATCACGACCCCGGGGCTGAGGCCGCACCTGCGCCGCGCTCATCACGTCTCATCCTCACCTTCATCGCTGCGGGTCTCTCGCAGCCACAGACGCTGCTGGACCTTGTCCCAGCACACCCGACATCTGCTGTTCTACCCGCTCGTTTCTGTCTTCAGCCCGCGGCCGTCTCCAAGATGGCGATCGCCAAAGCGCTTCCTAAACTCAAAGTCGAAGTGTTCGTCAAGAACGCTCCGCTTGAAGAGCACGTCGACGACGATGATCAAACTTCGGATAACGAGGTCACTAAATTCATCGAAGCTTCGTCTGGTGACAACTTCGAAGTCAAATACTGCTTCTCTCCTGGATTCAGTATCCGCCACAGTATTCTTGTGGAACTGGACATCGACGGGGAATATGCAGCTGGTAGTGTCTTCAACCCTGGCAGTTCAGTTCGCTGGGATAATGCGTATACGTTCAAGGGATCGCGCGGATTCGAAGATGGCGAATACTATTTAAGGAAGTTCTGCTTCTCGCAGCTCGAAATTAATGGTTCCGTCTCTCAGTTTCTTGAGTCAGCTACTTGCTAACTTTTACTTCAGACGACGGTGATACACGCACATTCAAGGACTCACTGAAGAAGAAGCTCCATAGGGTGGGTGTTATATCTGTGCGCTTCTATTGGGCGACAGCTGGCGCAACATACAAAACCCCGGTCACAGTACGGCAGGACAAGAATCTCGGTGTTGTGCCAGAGAAAGCCCTCAAAGGCAGTGCGCTATCCCATCAGGCTAGGTCAGCGAGCGTCTTCCCCGATACTCACAAATACTTATACTGTGATTAGCTACGGCGCGCGAGAAGTCATGCAGGCGTACAGCACGATTGAAACCACGAAGATCGACGAAACGCCGTTTGCAGAGTTCACTTTTAAGTATCGCTCGAGAGGTGTGTGAGCTCTTCGTGGTCGCCGTATCTCTACTAATGCCGATGTCATTTAGCTGCTCTCAAATCCCTCCTCGTCATCCCACGAACCCCTAGCCCGGTACCGCTCGAAGAACGCGATGTCAACACTCTTACTTTGGAAGAATCACGCGAGCTCATTCGTCTCCAGCGTGAGCAGAGGGACGCCGCTCCAGTCATCAAGCGAGAGCGTATCAAGCGGGAACGAAGCAGCACCATTATCAGAGAGGACCGTGAGGACGACGACGATGTCACTTTCGTTTCCGCCAAGCGCAGACGTCTCCCCGTTACTCTCGATGAGAATGGTGCCGAGATCATCGATCTGACATAGGGATAGATCGGTGCCTATACCATGGTCCTGGCAGAGTTTTTGGCTTTTCTCTTCGTTCTTTTCGAAGGCTCTCTAGCTTTCTGCGGCGCTGTTCTAGTTTCTGGCGTATAGATAAGGCGTAACGGATTGACTCTAGCGCAAAACACCGCGGAGTGGTCTTATCGTAGTCACCTTGAGTACAAGCAAGGCTTAGTACGAATTTCCTCATTCCAGCGTCTTTCTCAGTTATTTTGTGGGCTTATATATTGGTCGCCTCTCTCACCTGAGCAACTGTGAGCCTCAAGTGAGCGCGATCCTTGTGGCTGGTCCCTCTAATCGTTCCCTAGCGACATTGTCTACTCAGTCTCTCGCGGCTTCTTCTCTTCTCTCTTCATTCCATCGCAATGGCCATCGCAACGGGTATCCCTGGTTTTGAAGTCACTATCGAGGTCGACGCGGCAGCACTACCGGAACACCAACATGGGATCATCGACGACGATGAGGTTGCAACCTCTACATCTAGGTATATTGAAGCGCCATCAGCCGCCAACTTCTCCATCCGCTATTTGTTTCGTCCACCTTTCACCCCACCCTCGGCAGTACAGATGGATGTGCTGCTAGACGGTAACTATGTGCAAGCTCCGTTCGTCGAATGGGGTGGGAAGGAAGAGTGCGAGGGATACCTTTGCTCACGATCCACTTCATCGACTGGCGGACACAGCTTTACTCAGGGCTTCCACTTTGCTGAGCTGAGGACCGGTGAGTCCTGGTGTCTCAATATTCGTCCTAATGGCCGCTGACAAAGCTTAGATGAGACCAACATTCCCATGACCAAGGACCTCGCGGATCGACTGTCACCCATCGGCCGCATTGTGCTTTACTTCTATTTCATCGAGCATCTGGAAGCAGTGAGACCGACAGAAGTACCTCAGCTTGCTAGTAACAAGTTTGATGTTCTCAGCGAGAAGGCATTACACAAGGCGGCTGCGATGCAGGGCGATCAACTGTCTCATCAGACTAGGTATGTGCTTTCCCCCACATTACGAGGAAGGTGATCGCTTACATAGCCATCAGTCTGACTGCACCCGAGCAACGTGATACCATCACTTACAACGAAGTCAAGACGACTGAAAACGAGCCTTTCGCAACGTTCACCTTCTACTATAGGTCGACCGGTCAGTCACACGCATACATAGTTAATTCGCGATGATAGCTGACAGTCACTCAGATGCGCTCAAGTCTATCGGCGTCATCCCGCGTACCCCAAGCCCATCCCCGGAGCCAGAATCAGAGGCCGAAGACAAAGATCCAGCAGACATGACCGAGGACGAATTGAGGGCGGTGGTTATACGTATGCGCGTAAGTCGCACCACACCTTCAAAGCATGCGATTCATGTGTCTTTGACTGACCCTCAAACAGGAGAAGGACCAGAAAGCGATCACCATCAAGCGCGAACGCGAGGAAGAGCGAGAAGACAGTGAGGATACCTTAGTTGGTGATGAAGTCGAGTGGGTTGGTAGCCAGCCGGCACATCCGATCGCGAAGAAAACACGTCGCGCTCCGGGTCCTGATGATGAGGTCGTGGCTCTGGATGATTGAGCGCATCCTTCATGCAAGTCGAAGGGCTGGTACATTAAGCAAGTTTGAGAAACTCGCGTACTTCTGGCGTAAGCACCTGGGCACGATCGCTTGATCGTCATCCTTCGTGGCAATGCTGGTAGCATTATCGGACGATTTTTTATTTCGTATTCATCTATTCATGCGTATTTTAACATTCTGCTTTTTCATTCTACTCCCTTCGTTCGTCTGGGGCGGTAAAATCTGCACCAAATCTGAGGTTACTTGAAGGGAAGGAGCCACCAACGCAACAGCCACGTTCACCTCTCGCACTGGAGCGCGCGACTTTCGTGACGCGTCGGCGCCGAGAACTCTTGGGCCAACGTCTCTCACCTTCCAATACTCGCCTTCACCTCGGCTTCTGCGCTCTAGCACCGACATCTTCAGTCGAGGTGAAGTCTTCTTATCAGAACACACCTTCAGCATATTGTACACGTCGTAGACCTATCGCGGCTTCCTCTTACCCTCATCGCTTACCTTCATACCGCACTACAATCGCACCTTCCCCAATGGCAGTCGTCGATGAGGCCCCCGGGCTCGAAGTTCATGTCCAAGCGGATGGCCACCCGCTTCGCGAGTACACCGACCGCCACACCACCGTATCGGAAGCTATCTCCGAAAGCTACATAGAAGCAAAGTCAGACTCAACATTCGAAATTCACTACTCTTTCAAGGCGCCATTCCCCGTCGACCGCCCTGTGTCTATGATTGTCACCATCGATGGCAAGGATGTTGATGAGCCGCTTATTCGCCCCGACGAGCTGTACGACGCAAACGGTCACGTCAGCTCTGGACCGATATCGAACGATGGTAAGGACTGGTTTACGCAGCACTATCGCTTTTCGCCGCTTGATATCAGTAAGTCATCTTCATCCCTACAGAATAAGCACATGCTGAGAGAGGTGCAGGAGAGTACAGCGAGGGACGCATCTCAGAAGACCTACAGAGCAAACTACAGCCTATAGGTATCATTACCTGCGAGTTCTACTTCCTCGACAACGCAAGACGCAATCCGAAGATGGTCTTTGTACAGAAGGAGTTGGAGAAGCTGGATACGGTCAATGAGAAAGCTATCAAGGGCGAGTCGCTGTCGCATCAGGCAGTGTACGTATGACTCGACTTGCATGTTGCAACAAGCTAACGTGATCGCAGTCTTGGAGAGACAGAGCCCACGGAAGAGATTCAGTACTACGATGCAGATTACGCTGATGGCGGAGAACCGTTTGCGACATTCCACTTCTACTATCGCTCACTCGGTAAGCTTCCCAACATTTAAATTCATCGAGCAGACACTAATTATCACGTCGTAGCTGCACTCAAAGACCTTCACATAATCGAGCGTACGCTTGATCCAGTCGACGTTCTCGACAGCGATGATATGGTGCTCGGGCAGTTGAACAGGGAACAACTAGAGTCTATCGTCCGCCGCTTCAGAGTACGACACTTCTCACAGCATATCAAGAACCTCATTGACACCTACTAGGACCAAGAAGAGACCCGTGTACGCATGAAGCGCGAGCTTTCCGATACCTCCACCGTGGCAGGCGACGACCACAACGTCGATAGTCGAATTATAGCTTGCGACGACGACTTCATCGAGATAAGTTCGGTTGATCTGCGCAAAAAGAGAAAGCTTGAACGTGTCAGACAGATGCCAAGCGATGAAACTGAAGTCATTGTATTGGACTGAGACCGGAGAATGGACAGCGCGGAGGCCGACATGGCAGTCATTTAGGAAGTTTTCGCGAGATCAAGCTGCAATCTATGCTAAATTCACCGGTCTAGATATCAATGTAGGCGTCTTCATGTCACTCAGAACATTCGCATTGGTCGTGAATGATGAGTGTCAATGTCCAGCCAGATTCAATAACGCTGTAGCATTACACAGTATAAATTCGACAAAGAGGCCACGACCGCCCTCCAAGGCCCAGTAAGAAAGCATTGGAGTGCACAGCGAATGTTCTGAACACATAAAGTTCCCACCACGTCAGCGATACTAAAAGATTTTGTACAGTAGCAGGTTTAAAACAACCGCATAAATGGCAACCCCATACATTGACATACCGGCCAGCGGGTCTGCCAGCATACCCACCAACACAGAATTCAACATCCCACGTCTAGACCACCTCATGCTCCCCACAATTCAGAACGGCTATCAAAACCGCCTCTTCACAGCCGTCGACCTAACTTCAGCCTGTCTAACTAGAATTCGTGAAACAAATCCCACGTTCCACGCCGTAGCAGAGATAAACCCCGACGCTACATCACTCGCCCAACACCTTGATGCCGAGCGCCTCTCTAAAGGCCCCCTCGGCCCCCTCCACGGCATACCCATTCTGCTAAAAGACAACATACCCACTCTCGACGCTACATCAACAACATGCGGCAGCATGGCATTAGTGGGTGCCAAGCCGTCGTGCGAAGCCGACGTCGTAAGCGCAATGCGAAAAGCAGGAATGGTAATCTTGGGCAAAGGAAACATGGCCGAGTGGGCTGGTTTCCGCTCCACGAGTGGGTGTTCGGGCTGGAGTGGAAGAGGAGGCCAAACAACGGGTATATACTATCCTGGCATGAAAGCGAGTGGGAGTTCGGGGGGTTGCGCGGTGGCTGTTGCGCTGGGGATGTGTTTTGCAGCGCTGGGAACGGAGACGTGCTACTCGATTGTCTCTCCGGCGGAGAAATCAGGTATCGTAGGCTTCAAGCCGACGCGTAATTTGCTCTCCTCCGAAGGTCTTATTCATGCGTCTAAGAGACTGGATACCGTTGGTGTGCTCACACGAACAGTCTCAGATGCTGCACTCCTCCTCATCGGTCTGGTTCAACACAGCGACCACCTGCCTGCCCAAACGAAACAAAAAATAGTGCAAGATCTCAGCACTGCAAATTCAATTCCCCACCTCCATGGCGTCCGAATCGGCATCCCCAGTTCTCTCAGCGACATGCAACACCTACCTGCCTGTAAGAAGACAGCCTTCGAAAGAACACTCAAACTGTTAGAAAGCGCTGGCGCAACCATCGTCCACAACGTCACCGTCACCGGCGCAAAGGGCTGGGAGGCTCTTCCGCAAGAAGCAAAAGACATCGTTTTGACTACCGATATGAAGGTCGCAATAAACGACTACCTCTCCTCCCTCGCCACAAACCCGCATAACGTGCGTAACCTCGAAGACCTCATCGCGTTCACAAAAGGACACCCAGCGGAGCAGCACCCACAGCGGAACGTCGAGGGTTTGGAGAGGGCGCAGGCTTCCGATCCGAACGATATGCTCTACGAGAACATGCTGGCGAGAGACGAGTACTACACAGGTGAAGGCGGTATCGACGCTGCGTTGTGTAGGAAGTGTTGCGATGTCATGCTCGTGCCTACGTTGAGTGTTACCATGCAGAGCTTTGCTGCGAAAGCGGGCAGTCCGGTTATGAGTGTGCCTATGGGTGTTTTTCCGCGAGATACGCCTGTGGAGGAGGACGCGAGGAATGGGTTGGTTAATGTGGCGCCTGGGATACCGTTTTCGGCGTATATCTTTGGGCGAGCGACGAAGGATGAGGATGTGGTTAGAGTGGGGCGTGTGCTAGAGCGGTTGACGAATGTTAGGGAGACGCTGGTGCCGTATGTAGATTTGGAGGCTGGGGCTGGGGTCGCTGCGGCGCCTTAAGCTCTGACTGTCAGAGAAGAGGTCTCGAGACTGTATAGGGATGACACGGTAGAATGGGGGCATATAAGGACACCAAGAAGAGTACCGACGATGGTAGTATGGGGAATCGATTCAAGATAAGACTCTCAGTATCCGATGCTATGCTAGTGAACATGAACCCGGGCGGTAGATGAGCCTGCTTGTAGTTCACGGTACTGTTCCAGTGAAAACATTGTATCCAGTTGACGCTCCGTATTCAGCATTTCATGCGCGCTGCCTGCTGTACGATGCCATGATGTGCCTTTGAAGTGTCCTCAGTCGAGCGAGATGACTTCGTCGGTGCTGGTGGGGAAGCAGCGTCGCTTCGCGGGTCGCTCCTCTACCATCTCCACGTCTTCGTAGTCATGGTCGTCATCGGGGTGGTCGCGCTTGCGAGACTGGGTCTCCTCGTGCTTGAGCTGCGGTGTTCTGTAAGCTTGCGTCTTGACAAGATGTAACGAACAAGACTTACGTAGATCTTCTGCACCTTCTCCTCCGACAGATCTTTCTTGAAGGGCTCTGGGCTAGGTGTGCGGGGGATTATGGACAGGTACTTGAGAGCTTCCTTTGACCGGTATCGGAACTCGATCTCAGCAAGAGGGCGGGAAGGGCTGTCGACATAGTCTGCGTCCATGAAAGTAACGGGTGCAATGCGGTGCAGCGGGTCGAGGCTTTCAGAACTGTTAGCGCTTTGCGGTGAGGAGGTTATGCTATACATACGTTGTCTTGTGCGAGACGGACGAGCCTTTCAGTGCCTTCTCGGGGACCTCGTCGTACTCTCGCATGGACGGCACGTCCTTCCACGCGCGGGCAAAGCGTACGTTAGTGACCCGGTGAAAGGTGATCGAGATGTTGCCAGTCCATTTCAGCTGCTTCCAAAGCGCGTGGTCAATCTCGTAGTTGTCATCATCTGGATCTGTTAGCGGCATGGCACCAATGCGCACTGGCTAGACTTACGGGTGTTGAGATCAGCGAAGCGGAAGCGCTGGCCGAGGTACTTGTGGCCGATGAGCGCGCTGCTGTCGTTGACCTGTCTTGTGATGCCGTAGAGGTTGTACTTGTGCCTCTCGAAGATGAACTTGCGCATGTCAACACCGTCGATGTTGACAATGACCTTGATGGAGTGGCGGTCGAAGACGTAGCCGGGGATGAAGAATCGGACGCCAAACTGCTCGCCCGCTTCAGCCTCGATGTAGACTACCTTGGACTCGGAATTAGCATCTTCTCGGTCAGCATGTTCTTTGACGGGGCGACCGTCCACGAGGACGGCCGCCTCGAGTTTGGGGAAGAGGGGATGAGGGGCCATGACGAGAGGTTCGGCTGTGGTGAAGAGGAGTCAGAAGAAAAACTCTACCTAAGTCGCGCCCTGCCTACAAACAAACGGTGTTGCTGGGGAAGGAGCAGTGAGTACGTAAGCAGCCACGTGCTTCATGCCCAAGAGGAAGGCACGACGCGACACTGGCCTCACCATCTTCACCGCTCACCTCATCTATCTGTTTGACCATTCATCCGGTTAACGTGTAGCTTACAAGCGCCGCTCCCCTTTCACTGAACGTCACACCAAAGTTCACTCTGAAGGTATACAGTGCCTTTCCATCTCTTACAGGAACATTTGTAGCGTAGCGTATACCTCCAGGGTACACTTTTGATATGCATAAACCAAATCGTATAAGCGTCTGTGTATGACCAGGGTATATTATGATATAAGGAACCCACAGTGTATAAGCGTATGTATATCTCAACAGCCATTCTGACAGGAGACTGCGCGAGACGCTGACGTCATGTAGCCGCCTCTCCCGTCTTAGATGCTGTTGTCCGCTACAAAAGAATGTTCCCAGGCCGTAGCCGAAACTCCAATGATGCAACGCTTGAGTGAGAATGAATAGTAAAAGAACGTGTCATGAAGTCTCGTAATCATATCGTAAGTGGCGAACGGGTAATAGGATGTTAGCTGCTTTCCTCCATCTTTTCCTCCGGTACTGGTTCGTTCAGTCGTGCTTGTCGTGACTTTCTTCGGAGGAATGCTTGCAGAGAGAACATCACCAGCAATATCAGCGCGTTAACGGTCATTACGATCTGCAACCACTTGACGGTAACCTGTGATGATATTAGTGAGTCGTGTCGCAACGTAGTTATTTGTGACTGACCGCCTCGGCACATGCTACGCTGGCATTTTCACGGTCTCCCCTCGGGATAAAGCCCGGTTGGTAATTGCAGGTTGCCATCTCGCGCGTGCAGTACACGTTGGTGTTCATCTGACCACTCATCATGAGCCTTTCGGAAGTGCAGCCCCACTTATCGTCGCCTCGCTCGGTGTAGTGAAGCACGACAGCTGCGATAGCCGTGGCAGAACCAGCAATAGTGGTGACAACAATGCTGAGCATCCAGAAGCGACGCGTGCTCTACTGGAAATCAATGTGAGTGCTTCGGCTTGAGGTCGTTAACACATACGCTATTGTATTGCGAGTCCATGTCTGGTTTGCGCAGAGTACTCCAAGCAATAAGAGCCACCACGGCTGCCGTAAGGTTCAAACATCCGGAGACAATGGTCGCATCTGTCGGCGACTCTCTGAAGTAGACAATCGTGTCATCGACGACATATTGTTGCAGCCGGTCATTGAACTCGCTTGTTACTACTTTGAGACCTCGAGGAATAACCCAGTCTGTAAGGATCCAGTAATGCGTTGTCAACGCCACCGAGACTACCGAGAGAAGGAGAAAGATAATCGACGGAACGAGGGCGAATTTGAGGATATTGTCATATCGTAGCATGTTGTCGTTTGAGAGTCGGTCCTACACCGGGGAAGGACGCTGAAAGTGATCGCCGGATTCCAGAAAGCGGAATGGCAGCCCGTAAAGACATGGGCGTGGCCCTACCTAAAATAAGGCGCGACGCTCGTCCGTTCCCTGCTGCGCCGTTCCAACTACCAGCGCGGATGTCTAAAAGCTTGTCCGGGGCTCGGCGCTCATCATGACCCGCCTTTGGCACCGCCATGTCGGACAGTATTAGGCTGCGCTATGCGTGATCGACGTGACAATAGCAATACTTAGAACGACTGGATATTATGAGCCTTGCCGTCGCACGATTATCTTTTCAGAGGCCCTCGCCGCCTGCGCCGTGAAGAGTGCCTGATGTATCTGCCGTGTCTGTATAGCGTCCCAGCCACTCGCGCCACGGGACTCACCGCATAATCGGCAGTGACTCCGAGACCTCTGACAACTGAAGAGACGCGCTGCATGTCCGCGCCGCTGGTCGCCTGGCTGGGCGTAAAGAAGATTCGACTATGATTGGCAATGTTCCCATGGACGCAGCTCTAGTTGGAGTTGAACAACGTCATCATAGCCCCGTGAGGGAGCGAGCCGAGTTCCGTGGATGGTATTGCCAAGACTCACGTACTTGCTGATTTGCCGGCCTATCCGACACCATGGCCCATTGCGCACATACATCACCACTTTTGGCTCAACGTTAAATGCAGGTACGCAGCGGGGAAACTGGGGTTGGGAGGTTGGCACGACCAGCCTCGAGATATTTGCATAGTTGATGACGCAGTGAGTGCACGTGCTTCATGGTCTAGACGGCGCTACATCCACGCGCCAACACCATCTTTTGCACTTGCATCATTTCATTACTTCCACAGAATGCGTTTTAGTGACAGGTGTCTCACATTACAGTGAACATGACATTGATCGCACATATTGAGTACCTTTTACATCCTGAGGTCGGTATCGTCGACCCACGGGTCCTGGAACCCACTTGCCCCGAACAATCAATCTCGCCGGACTTGACACACAACACAGCCACCCCTTACCACTCGAGCTTTCCTCCGCTAGCAGGATTATGACCAAGCAACCACAAAATCTCGGTCTAGGCTCCTTGACGAACCGATTACTTCCACCCTCGAATATGCTCTTTCATCTCAACCCTCTTTCACGAGCCGGATTTCGAAGACGTGCGTTCTTCACAACGATGTCAATTCGCACTTGATTCGACCACCTGAATAGTGACACACGGCATCTCCCTCGAAAAATGACAACGTATTCCCCGGAGTAAGATCTGCGAACTCTTTTCATATTGCGGGTCAACAAGCACCCGCACATGCCGTAGCGATTGGAGCAACTCCCAATCAGCTTTGTCTATGTGCTCTATGAGACTGAGCATACAACCTGGCATGGCCAACAGCGAGGTCATGAGCTTCAGGTTGTGAGCTCCCACAATCTTTACAAGCCTATCCCAGAACCAACAAGAGGTGATATCGAAGGTACAAGTACTGATGAAGACGGAAAAGGCTTCATACTTGATCTGACGTGACACGTAGAGTAGAGCTGCAGATTTAGGTGGGGGTCGCCGAGGAGTGCCAGTGGGTTCGTATAGCGAGATGTGGACGGTGGAATCGGTGAATGTGTACTCGTAGATCTTGACTCGAAGCTCTACTGGGAGCTTCAAGAGCGGGGACATCAACTGGTTGCGTCTAGCACTTCTGTAGTGTTAGCAGTTGGATAGGTATGTTTGCGGCATATCTTACATGATGTTGCACTCTTCGCCGTTGCGCAGAAGCGGGACAGACGGGGTACGATGGCCCGTCAATGACATGATATCAGGCCGGTGTTACTAGGTTCCTGTTATATAATTATGGGTCTCGAGTAGAGCTGTTGTGTGGTGAAGGAAGCAAAGCTTGCTCGCAAAGTAGTCGCGTCAAGACATTGATAGCCACAGCTGACCCGCCTCACAATGCCATTTCACGCCAATTGCGAACATCAATTTGGTCTTCACTTTGACCTTCACCTGCGCGTGGAACAAACGCTTAACAGCGCAACGTCGCAGAAAGGTTTCCAGTCACACAACACTGACCAACACGAAAGTCACAAAGAAAGCACAAAGACAAGTTCAACAGTGGAGAGAAAACAAATCTCCAATTCAAAAGGATATATACGAAGTAATAGAAGATATTTACAAGAACAGATGAATCCACACACCTCTAAGC